CTACTTACATGTGGATGTAGGAGTGTGAAATGGATGCCACCTATGAGAGCACGGAAAAGGTGAAAATGGAATCACTGGTGTTTTCCAGAGAAAGACTCAGAACACACTACACAAATGGTAGGTGCAAAACTAGTGAAGTGTGTAGCTGAGTTATTGGATCCCCTTTTCTCAGGAGAATGTTTTATATAACCTTTCTTGGTTCAAACATAGTTGGACACTTAGAGGAAGAATAGACCATTGTGGGAAACTACATAGAGCTAGACTTCTTGTGGCTAAGGAAGTCCATGAAAAGCAAATTACTGTCAAGAATTTCAGGGAACCACAAACTTGGGATGAGAAACAAAGAAGCAGAATTAATGCTTTAATATTTGCTACCAGTTTCTCTTTTTGTTTTAGAGATCTTTTTTTAAGCAGGAATGGAAGCTGAGGTATTATTTCTCTGTAATGTCTCACTAAGCAGATTGCCGAAAAGCATTTGGCACAGAAATAAAGTGATACCTGAGCATATTCTGCACTTCAATAGTGCCTTTCATCCCAGACGCTCAAAGTTACGAAGCAACACACCTGTGAGTTTGTCCCTGTAATTATTTGCCATTTTAAATATGGAAAACAGAAGTATGGAGATGTTAAACTACCTGCCCAAAGGTGGAAGGTTGCCTGTAACAGATATAAAAAGAAGCTGTTTTTCTATCTATCCCATATGCATGTCAAAATTTCACATCTCTCACATATAATAAATTTAATACTGTCTTTTAAAATAAAATCTTTGTCATTACTTTTTGTACTTCCCAGGTCAGGCCTAGGATCCCAGAGTGGACTGTTTGTCACCAAGTTTATTGGCACATAATACTGTATTGCTCACCAGAAGATATTTCCTATCTAGGGTATTGCTGTCTTGCTAAACATTTTCAGTAATTCAAATGGAATCTTTAATTCCAATTTTTACTGGAAGGGGAGAATTGAAATAATTTTAAAGGGTTAAACTGAGCTTCACTTCTGTGCCAAGACATCCCCAGTAGCAGGGTTCCAGGGAATATGCAGCAAAAATCTTCTAGACAAAGTTGCAACTTCTTTTGCTTTGCAGTTTAACTGGAAACAATGCCTGAAGAAAAGAAGAAAGTGTATGTGCAGGTTGGATCCCTGCTAACATCAGATGGTGCAAAGGTTGTACCTCATGGTTCACAAGGGAACATTCAAAGGGGCCATACTTATTCTCTGATTGCCTTGACATTGCCTAATAGTAGGTAAACACTATTTCTGCTCCCTCTCTGGGTCAGCAAGAGAGCCTTCTAGGTTAGGATTTTACTCTGAGACACAGACTAAATTAGAGATTTTTCTCTTAGCTGGGATTCATTCCTAGCCAAAGCTGTCCCTCTAATAGCAAGCAGGTCTCTTTACTCTAACAGAACCTGTAAGGTGAATGCAGAATTCTCATTTCAGTAACCCAGGTTTCTTTCTTAATTGCTTAGAGATAAAAAGCCCTGGGAGGATGCTGCTTGACTGCTTATATTCCAGTGTTCCCCACAAAATGTTTATACAGTTAATGAAGTTTTCAGAAATACATTGAATTTTCTTTTAGTAAGGCAGTAGAAGCTTATAGCAGGGAGCCAAATTGCTAGTGAGCAAATGCACATTAAAGGAACATTTCGATGTTATTAAAAATAATGTGCAGCCTTTCAAAATTGCAGGCTTAACATGATTTTGGGAGACAAATGAGGAGCTCCAGTAAGTTCACAGTCATTGAATGCCTCCAAGTAATGGTTGTTGCTGACACTTTCATGGTTTATTTTTAATTGCTGCATCTAATAATGCTAATGAGCTAAAATGGCAATGGCTTAGGCATTCCAATGGCAGTGGTGAAGAGGAGAGTGTGGAGTTGGCAGCAGTGCCACTGGGGGCCCATCCTCTCTTGTCTTTCCCAGAAAAAGACCTGAGGCACTTCAGAGTTCCTCCTTCTTATGCAGCCACAGGGAAAATGGGAGTGGCAAACCTCCACTGAGAGAAGCAGCCATGGAAAAGCTGCTCTTGTCTGCTCCTTAAACACGGGTGCTGCAGTTTGACTCTGGTGCACCCGATGTTAGAGCGCTTCTGGGACTGTACCAGGAGAGAAAGCGACTTCCTCTTTAATCCTTGCTGCAGAATTAACCCAAAGCACATTGTTCTCATGAAAGGTAGCACAGACTTGAGCTTTGATTTAGGGGGCCTGTGGCTGGATTTATTTCATGTGTGGGTAATTAAAACCTCTAGACTTGCTGATTCAGTCCTAGTTATGACCATTATTTGATTACTGTATTGTTCCACTCCTAATCCTTTAGTGAGGTTAGAGCAGGTTAATCTTAGTGAAATGTTTGCTTAATACTACCCTCATGTATTCTCTTAATACTGCATAAAGAATGGAGAAATAGTAATTCTTTCAGCTTGTTCTAATTAGTCTGAGAGCAAAGCTAAATCAGCTGAAGCAGCTTAAGAGCAACTTGACGGTGTTTTTACAGTTGAGACTCCATGCCAGCAGGAGATGAGACATGTTCTATACTCCAGAGCAGTGTCAATATCTTCATCTGGTTAAAATCTGGAACATGCCCAGGTTTGGCTCTTGGATGTTGCATGGGTTTTTCTCCAGTCTTATACCTTGCTGCTCAGTTCTGCCGGGTTCAGTGTTTCTGCCTCTTTTGTTCCTCTTCTGGACTGCTGTTGTTCCCATGGCCCATTTGCAAAGCAGAAGAAATGGGATTGAGTGTATGGGTGTTCACTTTGTCCATCATGAAAAGCAAAGACTTTTTCTATTGGTTCTGTCTCATCAGAAGGGATTTGTGGCTAAATGAAACATTGGTATGACCCAATACGTTTATCCTTATAAATGCTAAATACATGACATCCATAAGGGATACACTTCTCAGAAGAGCGTGATAGATGTATGTGCTACCAAAAGGAATGGAAAAAGTGAGAAAATGTATCTATGAAAATAAAATAATTTTAAATTACACCTGAACAGGAAGTATTTGTATAGACTGCAGGCCCTGGCTGTTGCAGTGAACACGTGGTACATGGCAGAGCAGATGTCTGAGCAGAGAGAGAACTTTAATAATTCTTGCTACTTCATGAGGCCTCTCAGTAGAAACTAAAGCTGTTTTAATTTTGTGATACCTTGAGGGGCCAGATCCAATCTGAGCATTATTACACTGTTGGCACAACTCAGCCAGAGAAGTTCCCTTTCCCTTTTTTGCCAACCAAGCTTACAAACCTCAGCAGAGGGGACGCTGCAGCACCTGAACTTGTGCTGGATTCATTGCACTGGGTGGGAGTTCACCCCAGTGCCTCAGAGAGGTGCTGACAGATGGGTGAGATGCTCTTTGACTGGATGAGGAGACCTGGCTGGGGTGTACAGAGTAGTAATGAAATCTAAATGACAAAAGTAATGACAAAATAGTCAAGGTGATGGCACAAAAATGTTCAAAGAAACATGACAGTCTGTAGCTGCTGAACAATAGGGAGCTCTTGGTGCAGAGAGAAGAAAACAATACCATATTGGCCGTGGCACTTTGCTGCCAGGAATGACACTTTATGAACAATGGGAGATATCTCTCAAATGTTCTCTGACTTCTGCACTTGATTGGCGAGCCAAGTCTCAAGTCCCTTTTTTGCTTTTTACTTATATCATGCCCTAAAGCACTACAGAATAGTGAAAAAAATATTTAAGCTCTTAGAAGAGAGGGCAGAACAGTATTGAATGGGATTTCATTTTGGGGGGACAACGAATAACTCTCCTCCAGATCTGTGTGTAATGAATGCACTTAATGGGAAAGCAGGAGAAAATACATATGACTTCCTTAAACAGAAAAGTCTATTTGTGACATACCCCTGCTCCACACAGCTTCCCAAACCCTTTGTACTCTTTATACCTTCCTCACTTCTACAGAAACACAAAGACAACTGAAATGAGCATAGTCGAAACGACCTCCAAAGTGTGGTGGTTTGATTTCAGCATTAAATCTCCCCTTGATGGTTCACAGTGACACTGTATTGCCAATAGATTACAGGGTTGTAGCTATTTTCCACGCAGGAGAACACACAAAGGAACCCCCGCCAGCCCTAGCAGTGCTCTCAATCAAATAAAAACTCTTTAGCTTCCTGTTGCAGAGCTCTCCCTAGGATTCATGTATATTTTATCAAAGTTACATGCAGTTCTGATACTTGTTTCTAAAGTGCTTTAGTATGAATCCCAAGATGTACTGAAAAGCTGCAGTGGACCTTTTTAAAAAAATTCAGGTTAGAGTAGAGAAAAAAATGAAATGGCTTGACTCTACAGTATGCAATAAGAGCAAATTTTGCTCAACAGGCTTCAATTGATATAAACAAGCAGAAGAAACACAAATCTACATCTATATGAAATCATTTCACTTCATGTAAGTGCAGCCTGGGAGCAGCAGGACCAAAGAGGAACTCCGCTGTTTAACCTCTCATAAATTAAAGTCCTGCAATGATCTAAAGCTATTTTCTTGCCAGAATTGCTTTTACAAGACAACATACATGCCAACACAAAAGAGCTATGACTTCAGTTGTAACCAATTACTCTGAAAATAGTTAATAACAGCCTGGAGCAAGGAAAAAAAGAAAAAAAAGCTTGTATTTACTAATTGGGATTTTTTTCTTTCTTTTTGTTTAAAAAAACCCAACTAACCAACCAAAAAAAAAAAAAAAACAAACAAAAAAAACCTCCTCGTTTTATGTCTTAAGCTGAGTTGTGACATAAAGAGTTGCAGTGATCTTTCCAGATGAAAGGTGTATGTAAATTCAAACCAGTATTTCTTGCCTCCTTTGTCTCTCAGATATTTCCAGATTTTAGACCAAGAAGGATGGACAGAAAATATGATCTGGCTACAGTATAATAAGGCATTTAGGTTGATGTCATCATGGCATTTAGGTTGATGTCAGCATAGTGGAGAGGTGATTAAAAAAAAAAAAAGAATTCATTTTGTATGTAATAAAGCTTTAGTACTTACAGCTGTCCTCTTCTTCAGTAATACACTTCACAACATAACAGGCATAGATGAAGCCTGCCAGCTGAAACAAAATGTAATAGTGTTAGATGCAAGACTGATACCATAGAGAAACAAGAGATGGCTTTAGAAAAGCGACTATAGAAACAACAAAATTAACAGACTTTCTTTAGGAGTTAAAGATAACTCTCCACAATAGTTATATTATTTTAATTAGAAATAGGGGAATTTTGCATCTTTCTTGCAAAACACATCCTTCAATAAAACTTCCCAAAATTGACCGAAATTTTTCTAATACCTAGTTGACTTCTTTTCAATTATTGAAAAAAATAGAAAAGTGAATGAGTATTTGGATGATTGAGATTTTAGCTACTGAAAATGTAAATATTTCTGTCAAAATCAGATTTGCTATACAACAAAACCTGACTCTCTAGCAGAACTTTTTTTAAAATCGGAACTGTGCCAACTAAATCAAGGACAAATTCAGTGCACTTGTAAACCAGCTTTATAATGATATTTTATCAGTTGAAATTAGGGCTGTGGATTAATGGAACTTGTTCCCATATCTGCAGTAGTCCCCAAGCTTTATTACAAGTCACTTTGGATAGTCCTGGATGTGTTTACATCAACACATCTCACACAACAGCTGGCAAATTTGTATCTTGTTCCCTTCAATCCTCTCTGAAGAGCATGCCCAGAATTTAATTGTAAATTGGAACAATGGGATTTAAAGAAAATGAAAATCTGGAGCAGTTATTGAAGTACCACCTGAAATAAATGATAATAAAAAAAGGAATAAATTTCCAATATCACACATGCAACAGGCCAAGTATCATGTGAGTCAGCTGCTGGTCCCTCCAGCAAGTTCTGTTGTTGTTAAGCTAAACCAGAATTAAAAGAACAAATACTGGAGCAGGAACACATGTCACATGTTGCCCGCTTTACACAACTTCCTTACGTGCAGGTCTGGAGGGTTTTCTCCACTTCATTACAAGAAATCATTTTTCATCCTTTAGCTCATCGCTGAAGTTTGCATGGTATGACGTCAAAAGAATTCCAGTTATTTGATCTTTGTGTAGTGGAAAGTAAGCTGTGCTGCCAAAATGTGTTATTCTGCACAGGCCACCTCACAGAGATATTTGTATGAGCTGCAAAACCATCTGTACTCTTAGGGAATTTGTTTTTTATATGGATTATATGGATAATAAAAATGCCTGGTAGCTTCAGCCAGGACTGAGCTCTCTGTGAATGGTGCAAAACCCATAATCTCCGGCTGAGGGAGATGATGATCTTAACTTCAGTTTGAGCAATCAGTGGGTTGGAGAGTAGAAGAAGTGAAATTTGAGAAACCATGTATTATGAATGCTGGTAATGAAAATGGATTTTTTTTTTCATTAGTCCGAGGCATATGCACAATCACCACAATATTGTGGGTTCTTAGAACCCTTAATATTACCATATATAAATTAAATGCAAACAAATCCATTCTATTTCATTGTGCCTTCATACCTGAGGCAGTGACTATGCCTAGTTTATTTCAGCTCTTACACAGATATTCCTGGTATTTCTGTCAGTTTTCTATGTAGAAAGCTACCTATACCCACAAATGCTATCTTCTAATATCTGTATGGGTAAGAGATAGCAAAAGGGGAAAAAAAAGGGCAGCCTCAAGCCTTCCCTAAAGAAATCAAGACTTGATTTGGAGATCACACTGAAGCCAGCATAGGTGCTGTCTGCTCACAGTTTAAATTCCTGTTGGAAGCCCAGAAGCTGCATTACAACGGAACTAAACCATTAATTTTGTCATTTATTATAAATCTGCCTTATAGTGCTGCTGGGAAGATTTTACACCTGGGGAGGATGAAATATTCACTGCTGGACACAAAGAACGCGCTGTACCAAGAAGTGGCATTCAGCTAATATCAGCATTTCATCTCTCCTTTATTGGATCACTCTTCCCTTTTGTTTCTTGGCTTCAAGACAGAGGGCTAATTTGCTCCACTGACTTATGCCCTGCACAACCCCATTGACTTCAATGACATTACTTGAGGTTTAATTCAGCAACGAATTAGGCCCAGAAAGGTTGTTCATAAATGATTCCATTCTTGGATGTGAACCTTGGCTTAATAGTTTCTCTGTTCTCTTTTTACAGACCATCAGATCCAAGATAGCTGAATAGTTGCATCTCTAGCAGGCTCCTTTGGTAATCCTTTTCTTGCACTACAGTTCAATACTTTACTGTCTTGTAAACCACCACAAGTTCATGTGTTATTAACTGAACTTATCTTGCAAAGTACAGCAAACAATCCGTATCACAAATGGTGTTTACAACTGATCTTTTAATTGTATTCAGTTACATCGCTTAAATCTCTAGGGAAATCCTTCGATATATAAGCTAATCCTACAGCATTTCATCAGACGAGCTTGTTGATTAAAAGAATACCTTAAAGCTCAGATTGTTCTGATCTAAGTACAAATGTCAGGGTTTTTTCCCATGAGATAATCAGAGTTCATAAAAGAAACCTCCCCTTCTCCCACATTTATCCAACCCTTTGCTTGGTAAACATAATCATTTTGTTATTTGAATCTCACATTAGTTTTTTCCTCATTCTCTTTTTTTTAAACCAAGTAATTTGTAGTTTATCAGATCTGATACAGATAATCATTAAATATTTACCTTCTAATTGCATCAGCAGCAGTGGGCACACACTGCGAGCTGAGGCTCAGAAGCAAAAGTGGCAGTTTTCACTTTGATGATACTCAAAGACCTGAGCCTGTGGCAACTGCAGAGGTCCCCAAGACAGAGATCAGGAACATGTTTCCCCCGCTGTGGACTAGGACTTCCATAAGAAGGGTACAGCTCATCTATGCAGATAGCAGAGATTTTTTGGGGACTTTAGTCAACTAAATTTTTTAATGAATTCCCACATGGATTGATAGGTTTCCCAAAATTTACTACCTTTGTTATAGTGCAAGATGCACTTCTTTAACCTTTTCTCTCTAACAAAAGCATACCAAAATATACCTTTGTATCACAAAAAATACCCCAAAACCCCCATCAAATCCAAACAAAACACTGAATAACTCCTCATCCTGGAGAAGAATATGAGAGAAGAAACCCAAACCAAAGCAAATGATAGAAGTTAGTCACATCTCTTAATATATTCCTGGGATGTCCTCAAACACAGCATTGCTCAGTGCAGTATGAGAATTGCACAGAGCAGAGTCTTCCTGATTCAGTAGCTCCAAAAGATTTTTGTCATACATAAGAAGGAAGGAAATGAGTCCTCAGAGATAAAGAAGAGAAGGAGCCTGACTGTCTCAGAAAATAATTTTAAAACTGGGAAAGTTGCTTGAAAAATCTTGTTGCTTTGCATCCCTACTTTTTTTTTTTTTTTTTAATTAACTGAGCTTTTTTTTTTTTATAAGCCATGTAATGATAAAAAGAAATAGGTGTAATGAGCAGAAGATAATTTCTGGATCCCAGACCCATCAAGCTTAGGTGTCTACATCTGTCCCACTCACATTTTAATGCTGTAGTATGGGCCTCTAGAGGAGAAGGAACCATTAACAACATTCCTGCTCATTTATACATAGAGTGATTAGTAAATGCATGTTTTTATGAACCTCATTTTCTGCACCTTGGAAAAACCTGCTCTTTACAACTTTTCCTGATATGTCCATATGAGAGTATAAATGAATATTTCTCTTTCTAAAAGTGACACATTATCCATGCCTGCACCAGCTCCCTGGGTGTACTTTAACAGCATCTGATGACCTTAATTTTAGAAACAATGATCTCAAACACTTAATAATTTTTTGGGATGTTTTTTAAATTTGTTTTTGTTTGTTTGTTTGGTTTTTTAATCTATAAACATGTTGATAAAACCATTTTCCTTCCGTCAAGAAAAAAGAAAAGACCAGCATAGCCTAAAATAAATCACCAATAAAACAGCATTACTGAAGCTTTGGTAAGAAGATTGACTACAAAATATAGTTAATGCACTTTATTGCCTTATCATAGCTGTATAAGGAAAACAAAAAAAGTAGAATATTCCCATCTAAGTCAATGATGTCCCGTTACACCTCTAAAGACTCTCGGCAGATCCTGAGTCACTGTGAGTGTACTTCCAGACTTGCTCAAAATGTCAAGTGCTGTGATCAAACTTAATCAGAATCAGTATTGATTAAAATCCTGTTGTGCTATTTTTTCTCACTTCTTTCATGGAGATGAATGTTTTTATATACTGCAAAGAGTACCAGACTTGGAAAAAGGCTATCATATAAAAAACCCATAATTGCTGGTCAAGGTTCCCACGCTTCCCTCTTCTACATAGGTAATTACTAAAAGTTACGTTTATTAATCTGGGAACTTGAAACAAAAGAGTGACAGCAAGGAGGAAACAAAAACTAGAAGGAGATCTAATTGTGATAGTGTGGTGAGGAGCAGGCTTGAGATGAGGATTAATGAGTTAAGGGTTGTGGAAATAATACACAGTCTTGGTTTCTTTGAATGAATATGTTTTTATTCTATAACCATACCTGGTCTAGTGAAATGGACCTTAGACTTAAAACCCACAAATCTATCGTGTTTTCTAATGGAAAAATATTTCAGTATCTTTGAAACAGCTAAGGCTTCTGCATTTGCTTTTCATTATTAGGTTTTTGCAGGTGTCTGTAAACACTCTGCTTTTAAGACTTAAGCAAAATATAAGCTAATTCAAGCACTAATATGGCAGAAACACATGGATGTAATTCTGGACCTGGGAATGCTCTGTTGCAAAGCTGCGATGTTACATGTCCAGCCATGTGCAAATTAATCATATTTCTTAAGCTTACAGTGGTCTGTACACATAAAACCTTTGTGGTGATGTGCATTTAAGGGGCAATGTTTCTTTAAAATGGATTTTTGGAGTCTGGAAATATATTTATATATATATATATATATATACACACACATACCCATTATGAGCAACTGAAGAACTGGAAAATTACAGTCTAGAAAGCTTCCAGTGTATTGATTCTCAAAAGAATCATACTCATTATTTAGCAGGAAAGGTGAGG